ACCTGGCCCCCCTCCCCCCAAACCTCCTTATCACCCGCAGGGTGGTCGTATAGGTATTCACATCTGATTATCTCATCATGTTGGGGTCTGCTCCACTGTCGTCAGTAGTCTCGGGGTCGTTGATGTCTGCGATGGCTTCTGAGATCAACCTGTGGACGTGGATCTTGACAAGGTTGGTGTTTCTTTTGTAGTGGATGCTGCTGATGTTGATGGTCAAGCGCGCGACGTTGTCTTGTTGGAGGTCTGCCCCAGGGGATTCTGATCTCATGCCGATGCGTGGTTCCTCGAAGGGCGTGGTGGCCTGCTCGGATACTGTATCCATGTGTGGCACGGTGGGGGCGCGCATCAAGAAACCGAGCGTTTTTCGTCAGGGTTCCTTGGGTTTCTTCTCGGGAGAGAAACATGAACCCCTGCCCCCAGTACAATCACCAGAAGTCATTTCAGTATGCGTACCCGTGCGTTCTGGTACGAGCTCAGGCTGCCCATGGCAGCGGCGCCGCCTTAGGCTCCCAGGGGGGGGGCGGCGGACTTATTCCCATTCTACGTTTGAGCTGACGATGTTGTGTCTTCCTCGCAGCGCGCGGGAAGGCGGAAATGCATCCTAGCGCACCCGAGGGGCGCCCCCCCGACGCAGTGACAGAGCGAGGGACAGCGCCTTCGCCAAGCGTCGTGTCTGAGCGGCACCATAGATATCTCATGGGCGCGTGCTCCGTTCCCCTGCGTCGTTGCCTTTTCCTTTGCTGGTCTGGTCGGTTGCCAGCCCGTTTCGTTTCTCTCGCGCTCCCTCCTCGCCAGCACCCCCGCCACCGAAAAGCGCCCCCCCCTCCCCCGCCGAAGCTTGGAGTCGGCCCCATTATTATATTTGCTCTGGGGGCCAGGCAGATTTCGCAATGCCCCCCCACCTTCAAGACCCCCACATCCAGGGGCTGGGGGCTGGTGCACCCGAATTCCTTTGCAATTTCCTATTGAGGAAGGGCGACTGCGTCGCGCGGGGCGGGGGCGGGGTAAGGGGTGGCGCTGCTATGAGGCGTTCGTTTTTGCTTCTGTTCCGCAGTGGTTTTGGGGCGTTTCTGTCAGCAGGCTGATTCCTGCGAGCTGCTGTCGCGCAGACCGAAAGGGATGGGTCGATATCATATGTTTGTTGTCGTTGGCTTTCCGTTTGCATGCCTTGTGTTTGTTGTGACAGAGGAGTCATCGAGTGGTGCGTATCAGCCCGCCCTCTGTCGATCGCGCGACAGACAGTGTGCAATGGCCCCGCCCCAGCCCCAGAAACACGAGGTCCCCATGGCAGTCATCACAATCTCGTTGTGGGCGCTAATATTGTCTTACATGCAGGAGCTCTCTAGCAAATTGCCGCGGACCGCGGTGCCCGGGAGGAGGGGGCGAACGCAACGGACGAAGTGCCGTGGCCCCACCTTGCCTTTTGGAACCATAGCTCCTGTGACGCATTCTGCATTCTGGCCTGAGCGCGGGGATCTCGGAACGGATCCGGGAGCAGGGCTTATGATGAGGACGTTCAGGACGAGGAGTGGGAGGGGGAGTTAGGAGAAGGAGGGGTGCGGCGAGGAGGAGGATAGCGACGACGACGAGCAGGAGGGAAACGAAGAGGAGGGAGGGCGGGGGAAGGATGAGGAGTATCTTGAGCAGGAAAGGGAGGAAAAGCAGGAGCCACGGCAGGGCAAGAACACGAGGGAGACGACGACTACGAAAACGCTGGAGGACGAGGCGGAAGAGGACCATATCGGCGGGGGAACGTAGCAGGCAGGGAGGGAGGAGGATGATGATGACGTGGGGGAGGAGGAGGAGGAGGAGGAGGAGGAGGAGGAGGAGGAGGAGGTAAACGACGGAAAGGATAAGGAGAAGGATTTTGAGCCAGCAGGAGGAGAACGAGGATCCAGAGGAGGATGGGGGTCAAGAGGGTAGCGGCACCTTCATAGTGGCTTCCGGCCACGCCTCAAGCCCGAGCTCGGGGCAAGGGTAGGGGAGGGCGCGGCGGGGCGCGACAGCAGGGAAGGAGGGGAGAGAGGAACGGGGGAGGGGAGGGCGTGGAACGAGGGGGGCGGGAATCGAAGGGGGTGGGGCGGAGAAAAAGGCAGAAAGAAAGATATAGTAAGGCAAAGAAGGAGGAGGAGAGTGGAGGATCGTCGTCGTCGGCTTCCGCCACATCTCCCTTTTGCGTCTGCCCCGCGGCGGAGCAAGCTAACGTGTCCATCTGCGCCTGGGCACGAGGGCGCCAGTTCCCATGCATCACTACCGGGGCCCTTTTGTGTATGGGTTTTTGCGTGTACCGGCCCATCCGCTGTTTTGGGCGTGCCGGCCCATCCGCTATCGAACGGCTGATGGGCAGTGCGGTTGCATTGTGGCTCAGTGCAAGCATAGTTGGGGGAAATTGCTCTCGACGGCGCTGCGGGGAAGGCTTTCCCGCCCACACCCTCATTCTTGCCCCTCTCTCCTCCTCCTCCTCCTTCCCGTTGCCCTTCCCTTCGGTCCTGCGGCAGCGTGCTTTTCCTCTCCCTTCCTTCATCACCCATCGTGGATGTGCCATCCTCCTTCCCCGCACTCTTTTCTATTTCCCCTTCCTCTCTCCTTTGTCCCTTCTCTTCCCTGTCCCATCCTTCCACCTTCCTCGTTCCTCGGTTCTCCACTTTCCTGACATAACTTTCGATTTCCGTTATCCTTCGCCCCTTTTTACCTCTATGTCCTCATCCTCCCTCCTCCCCCCTCGTCGCTCCAAGTTCGCTTCTCTTCATCCCCTCTTATGTCCTCCCCCTTCTCTTTCCGACTTGCTCTCCCGCGGATCTTCCTCCTCCTCGATCCCCCCTCTCCCCCCTCTATCCTCATCGCTCGTCCTCCTCTTCGTCTCTCCTCCTTCATCCGTCCTCGGTCCGACTTAGACCAGATATCCTCCTGCCGCGGTCTGCTCATGCACGGCTGTTTTTTTTTTTTCGGGCACAATTGGTCAACACGGGCGGGGGGGGGGGCACGATGTCTTCAGTTGCTTGGCGGCCCAAATAAATTGCACTTCGTGCTTGGTCGATTTTCTGTTCACGGGTCGGTGCGTCTGCGACCACGCTTGGTCGCGTAACCTTGCACCGTCCCTGATTTGCAGAGTTCTGCCCAGAGCGATAATTCTTGACGCTTCGCGTATCCCCGCCAGCTCATCCAGAAACGATGCCCAGGTGAGCTGTCTGCACGAGTGGGGTCGCCAAGCAGACAGCGAAGCAAGGAACCCAACAGTGCTCAAGTTAGAGACCTCGGGGGGCTTATGTCTTGGAGCCATTTCGGGGCGATGGTGCAAGCCTGTTGGGCACTCGCGGGGCCATCTCGGGGCCCTCTTGGGTTTCTGATGGCTGATGGCATATCTTGGGAGCCGAGCAGGCCCTTTCAAGGCAATCTTCGAGTCCATAGATCACACGAGGGGGAATCCTGATGTCAGTCTCCCCGTCGGGCCCTCATAGTCGCCTCTTGGTGCGCTCTTGGTGCGCTCATGGTGCGCTCTTGGGCGCTCCGGGGGCCCTCGTGGACCCCCCTTGGGTACCTCTTGGGGTTCTCTGGGGCCGTGTTTGAGTCATCTTGAGGCCCCAAGAGCCCGTCGGGAACGAAAAGCTGAAAAGAAAGGGTTTGAGGCGTCCTCGGTCGCGGACTCTAGGTGGCGTCCTTGAGGTTCGGAGGCATTTGGAACCGTCTTGGGCGGTCTTGAGGCCTCGCGGAGGCATGATGGAACTAACTTGAGCTATCTTGAGCAATCTGGGAGGCCATTTTGGACCATCTGGGGCCGGTGCAAGCGCCCCCGCCGAGTGCGCAAGCGAAAAGGGGTAGCACCACAGCAGACAAAAAACACGCCAGGGCCAGCACAGAACACAAGACAGGTATCAGCACAAAATGCATCGGCCACGCGGCCGGGACAAATATTAACTAATTGGGATAATCCCTGGGATCGTATTTTTTGAATCCCGCTCCCTGGACAACCTCAGTTGCCAATGGTTGATATTATGCATACGTATGCGATGCCGCCGCCTTTGGGGGCCAGCAAAGCCCCATGCTGAAGCTGGCAGAAGTAAAGGTTGTCATTCTTCCATGGGCGACGTCTGGCGATCTGGTCGGAGGAGCCTTGTGGCAATCTGAGAGGCTGAGCGGTCGCGTCCTTCTTGTCCTGGGTCTCTGGATGGAGGGCTCTATGAAACAACGCCGATTCGGAATTTCACGAGAGTCTTGCCTGATGAACCGCGGTTGCCCTCAAGATCTGCGCTGTAAACTGCCGAGCCCCATACGACTCGGGCCAGGCAGCGGGAGCCTGCATCAACTCTGGGCGCTCAAAGTGTTCAGAGTTGGTTAGGTTGTTTTGCCTATTGGGGCTCTCTTAGGCCGCCTGGCAGGTTTTGGGATATCGCGCTGTCTTTACATGGTTAGCTCGAGCGGCTGATTGGGGCTCTCCCTCGAAACTCGAATCAGGTAAGTGTCTCATGAAGATCCCCCGGAAGGCCGTGAGAGAGCTTCAAGAGGCCTTCGGGCGCCCCCCGATGGGGCCATGTCGGGGCCCTCTGGGGCTTTCAATGCCGTCCCGTAGGGCGAGCGCCCAGGCGCAGTTTCAAAGTTTTTGAAAACTCTCACAGGGCCTATCTAGGCAATGTTGCGGGGCTCTTGGGATTATTTTCGTTTAGTTCTGCTCTCAAGGAGGTTTGCCGGCTCGTCTTGGGGCTCTCTTGGGAGCGTCGCATCGTTACTGGAGGCTCTGTGGGTTGCTAGAGTGCCCCTCTTGGGCCCCCCGATTCGTTTCTGTCAGACGAGCGCCGAACTTCGCAGAATTCTTCCGGCGCCCCGCCCTTGGCAGGGACATGAATTGCGCCTGCCCCCTGCGTTCCTGGGCAGGGGCGCACAACGAGAACCCGTACACAAGGTCCAGGAAAGCATCGCACCGGTTGGGCCCCTGACCAGCGGCTTGGGCGGGGCTGGCTCGGACGAGGCGTTGGGCAGTACCTGATGGGGCCTTCCTTCAATTGGGCCTCTGACCTTCCAGTTTCCCTCAGCCTGTTCTTTTCCTCTCGCCCTCCAGCCCCCCCCCAGCACCCGTAGCCATTTTGGTTCGCTGAGAGGGTGCATCCTGTACCCCAACACACCACCATGGCCCACGAATCGGAGCCGGCGCCTGATGCAGGGCATGTGGCTCTGCTGCCGGCATCTGGGGGCCAGGTGTTAGTCCATAAGCTGACGGGCGAGTTTGTTCACTTGGAGCGGCTTCCTCAACCGTGGAAGTTGCACGAGGATGACTCTGGGAGCTGCTTCGTGCAGAGCGGGGAGACGACTGCATGGGTGGCCAATAAGCTTAGGTTCCCTTTGCATCGTGGCAGTGCCGACGGTGAGTACGATGTCGACGTCGGCATCGGGAGCGAAATAAAACTAGTCCCTCTGACCCAGTGGCTAAAAGGTAAGAATGGGGACCGGGATATCACTATTAATTCGCCCCCACACGGCGACGTCAAGATACACCTGTACGTCACCCAGCCGCCGAGACGAGGGGCAGCAGCCTGGTGGGACGTAGAGTGCCTCTATGAACAACTTCGGCTCCGCGGGAAGAAAGCGGCCGGCAGATGGACGGTTGCTGGGTGGCAGAAGTGGGACGAATTCCTTCGCGAAAAATGTGCGTTGCCCGGGCACTTGGAAAATAAGGCGCCCCAGGGGCAACGGCACCGAGCTGCTTTTCTCGGGATGCACATCCTGGAGGACCACCGCTGCGCCGACTTCAGGATGGCCAGTACGCACGGTTTGATTGCGTTGCTTGCGAGATGGTCCTTCGGCTCTCAGAACTTCGGCGGACTGTCCGAGGGCAATCGGGTGTCTGCTCGCGGTTTGCTGGAGGCCCTAGTCTCAATGTCCAGCCTCGGGGACTTCACCATGTTCCTGGCCGACATCAGGCTCGGGGATGAGGGCTGGCCCGCTGGTTCGAATGGCACCACGATCGAGTACAGCGCTGCAAGGGGCTTGAAGCTCAGGCCACTCACGGGGAAGAGAAACCCTCTATGTCGGGCTCTCACCCGGCTGATGCCTCCCAGCTCCCTCGACGAGGAGGGGCACGCGCGCGTGTTGAACTTGCTGGAGGCCCTGGTCAAGACAAGTCTCGTCGACGACACCCTCACGATGATCTTTCAGCAGCTTGTATGGTGGGTGGGGAAGGCCGCCGACGTCGCAGCGGTGGCCCAGGCAAACGGCGACGACGTCGTGCACGCGAGCATCAACAGCAGGACTGGCAACAAGATGCTCACCAAGTATTTCATCAGCATTCAGGAGTCGTTCCACCGGCCCACCTTCCTGCACGTCGCGTTGGACCAAGGTACCGTCGGCAAGAAGCCGACAGTATGCGGAGCCATTGTGCTGCCGACAAACGTTGGCGCATTATTTCCCCCGAAGGTCCGGGGACAAAATCGTGCCGCCCAGTATCCCGTAGTACGGGGCGTCTTTTGCAGATGTCCGGAGCTTTTGGGGGTTCGTGGTTTCGTACTACGAACTTTTGGGCCCGTACTACGGATCCTGGGTCTGCCGTTGTTGGCCCGTCTCCCTTTTGTTTTTCCTTGCTTCTTTCATGTTCCTTACCCCCTCCTTCTGCCCATCTCCTCCGCTGTCCTCCTTCTGCCCCCCCTCTCTTCCCCGCCTCCTCTGGCACCTGCCGCCCCTTGCCCCGCCGCCTTGCACTGTTCTCCTCCCGCCCCTCCTCCGTGCTCCTCCTGCTTGTCCCTCCGTTACCCCGATCTTCCCCCATCGCGTCACCATCGCCGCACTGATCGCCAGGTCGTCCCCTCATTCGTCTCCGACCTCGCCGTGGCTACCGCTTGGAGCAGCCAGGCAGAGCAGGCGGCTGCGGGGAAGCAGTGGGTGGACAACGCCAGGCAATTCCTGAGGAAACGGGCCTTGGACGACGAGGGCGCATTCAAAGGGCCCCCGAAAAAACAGCGGAAGAAATCAGCAGTGTGGGTTGCATGCGTGGACCAGATTCTCCAATCTTGTTGCGCAGTTGGCTTGGACCACTTCCGAGTTCCAAGCACCGATTGGCTGACGAGGGACCCTTGGACTTGGCCTTACTTGGGCATGTGCCCTGACCAAGGCCCCGACGGTGTATGCGGAGGCTACTACATGCGGTACGGCGAGAACATGAACTGCGAGATGTTCTATGACATCAGCCATGGGGTGTGGCGGGACCAGGAGAGTGCGCTGAAGGAGGTGGAGCTGCAGGCGTGGACCCACCTGGCAGTCATAATGCTGAATCTGCTGCACTCGCCGTGGGGGTCTGAGGCGCGATACTGCGCGATCTCGGAGTCCTCCAAAGAGTACGCGGCGCATGCGACCTGCCAGTGCCCGCTCTTTCGGACGCGACGGGGGTCTTGCAAGGGGGTATGGGGGATAAATCATTCGCTCCCCAGTCGGGTTCTGCATTGAGGCCCCGGAATGTAGCCTAGTAAGTGCTACCTCGTAGAATTCTTACAATGGTGATACTGGGGGTCGTCCCGACGAGTATCATATCTTCGATGCTCTCGGCCGCGCGGGGGCCACGGGCCAGCCCGCCCACTGGTCGAGCTTCCCGGGGAGGCGCACGTTTGCCTGCCTCTTCTTGGCGGGTGAATTTCTTAGGCGGGCGGCCCCCTTCCTTGCCCCGCCTCCTTCCCATTCGGAGGGCCGGGACAGGCAGAGCGCGCCGCAGCGAACGTAACAACGTGCGCTTAGCACGGGCGCGAACGTTGCAGGTTTGTTGCGTCGGTCCCCTCCGCTCCAGCCCGCGCTCCAGTCCGTCTCCGCGCACGTGCCCAGCGTGATCCAATCAGCCTGCTTGAGAACACCCCCCTCCTCCCCCGCCGTTCCCTTTTTTTCCTTCCTCACCCTCCACCCTCCACCTCCTCCTTCGCCTCCGCCCTTCCCCTCGTAATCGCAATGGTGACTTACGCCATGGGTGCTTAAGGTTGAATGGGCCCTTTCGGGAACGCAGAGATTCGATGGGCAAGTCCCGGGCCGGAGAATACACCCCCCCTCGCCGAGATTCCCAACAGGGGCGGCCCACGAGGTCCCAAACAGGGCCTTATCTCTAGATCCGCTTCGGCGCCGCCGTCGTCGTCGTCGTTGCCGCCGCTGCCGTCGTCACCATCGCCATCGTCGCGTCCGCCGCCGCCGCCGTCGTCGTCGTCGCCGCCGCCATCGTCGACGTCATCGTGGTCGTTGTCGTCGCCGCCGCCGTCGTGTACGGCCGAGCTGCCAGCGGGGCGCCTGGCCACCTAGCTGCGGCCGAAACGTGGCCGCAGCTAGATGGCCGTCGTCGTCGTTCTCGCAGCCGTCGTCGACGTCGCCGCCGTCACCGTCATCGTCGTCGTCGTCGTCGTCGTCGTCGTCGTCGTCGTCGTCGTCGTCGTCGTCGTTCGCGTCCGAGCTGGGCGCGGGGCGTCCGGCCACCTAGCTGCGGCCGAAACGAGGCCGCAGCTAGGTGGCCGTCGCCGTCGTCGTCGTCATCGTCGTCCTCGTCGTCTTCGTCCTCGTCTTCGATGTCATCAACGTCGTCGTCGTCGTGCCGCCGCCGCCGCCGTCGTCGTCCGCGTCGCGCCCGCCACCGCCGCCGTCGTCGTCGTCGTCGCAGCAGTCGTCGACGTCGTCGTCGCCGTCGTTTGCGGCTGAGCTGCGAGCAGGGCGCCCGGCCACAAAGCTGCAGCCTACACTTGGCCGCAGCTAGGTGGCCGTCGTCGTCGTCGTTGCGCCGTTGCCGCCGGCACCGTCTCCGCTGCCGCCGCCGCCGCGGCCGCCGCCGACGTCGTTGTCGTTGCCGTCGCCGTCGTCGTCGTCGTCGTCGCCATCGTCGTCGCGTCCGCCACCGCCGCCGTCGTCGTTGCCGTCGCCGATGTCGTCCACGTCGTCGTCGTCGCCGTAGTTTACGGCCGAGCTGCAGGCTGCGAGCGGGTCAACTTGCCATCCAGCTGCGGCCGAAACGTGGCCGCAGCTAGGTGGCCGTAGCCGTCGTCGTCGCCGTCGTCGTCCCCGTCGTCGTTATCGTCGTCGTCGTTTGCCGCCGCCGCCGTCGTCGTCGTCGTTTACGTCCGAGCTTGGCGCGGGGCGCCAGGCTACTAGCTGCGGCCGAGACGCGGCCGCAGCTAGGTGGCCGCCGCCGCCGCCGTCGACGTCGACGTCGCATCGTCGTCGTCGGCGTCGTCGTCGTCGTCATCCTCGTCGACGTCGTCGTTAGTGGCGCTATATCGGCGCTATCTCTAGATCCCCTTCGGCGCCCCTATTTTGGTCAACGTGCTGGGATGGAACTCGGCTGGGGGGGGCAATGCTGAGTCTCGCCGTTGCCGCATCGAGGCAGGGGGTGCGGGCATAGCACGGGGGGGCGTTAGCGAGCCCGGAAACTTAAAGTAAATGTTTGCCCCCTTTGTGAGGGAGGAGTCTTGGTGGAAGCACAGCCTTTTGTATCGGGGGGCGTTTACCAATTTGGACCCCCCCCCCGTGTAAATGTCACGGAGTCTGCGCGGCGGATTGCGGACGGAGTCTCGGAGGAAAGCCAGTTGAGGTAACCCGGGGATGCGAAAGCAATGGTTTATCTTTCTTCAGTCCCGAGAGTTCCGCCGCCGCCCCAACCGCGGCCGAGACCTTCTGAGGCGACGTGCCATGGGAACCCTTCCACACGGTCGGGGGAGTTTGCGCGCACGGTTGACATGCGGGGGGCTTGAGGGCCCTTTTGGGGGGGCCCTCGGGCCGAAGGCAGCAGCCAGCAACAAGGAGGAGGAGGAGGAGGGGGAGCAGCAACAAGGAGCAGGAGGAGGAGGAGGAGGAGGAGGAGGGGGAGTAGCCGATAGGCCAAAACTTCTTAATCGTCACGGGCCTCCGTGCGAGGGCGATTGGAACCCCAAAATTTCCCACCAGGAGATATCGTGACGACCTTGTTGCTGATTTGGACATGTCTGAAGAGCTTGCCTCCAAGGATCTCAAGGAACACGAGGAGTTCAAACTCATCACAAAGAAAATCCAGGAGCAGCCCGGCTACCACAATAAGGGTGACAACACCAAGATCTGCCGATTTGCGAACGTTACCGACGTGCTGGCTGACTACGACAACCGGTGGACTTGGGCGACTGTGCGTTTGCTGCACTATTCTTTGTCAGAGGGTTTCATCGATAACGTCGATTGGGCGGCCCTGTTTAAAGTCTCGCCGTCAGGCGGTGGAACTGATGGTTCGGAAGGTGGGAAACTGGGAGTCGCGAAATCGAACGAACTGGTAAAAAAATACAGGGCTGCTTTGAAAAGCAACGTGAAGCTTGCCCTGGCAATGAAGTTAAATCCAACTACCAGGGCGACCGGCCGCATCTTATTTACACTCGTTGGCCCGATTCGGAAGTGGTATGGGCAGCAGAACAAGGAAATGCGATCGGCCCCTGCAATGTTAAAGTTCATGAAAGCTGAAGTTGGGGATCAGAAGATGCGAGAACCACTGATCCAGACCGTGCGGCTGTTCGAGGACAGCGATGTTTTGGATAAGATTGGGCTGCAGACGCAGTTCGGCGAGCACCACGAGTGTTTTGATGAGCACCACCCGTGGATCGCAGACCAAGACTATCTCGCAGACTTGGCGGTTCGATATTCTTTGGGCTTGGTTGCCGCTCGCTTCAAGCGAATGGAATACTTAACGCATGGTTGGACTGGCCGGCAGGCGGAGTTCTTGTCAACCGACCCCGCGGTCCGAGAGAAAGCCGAGAAGGATTTCTTTGAGGAGCATGCTGCGTACGCGGATGCTGAGAAGCAGACTTCTGGCTTCTGGAAAAAGATTGTGAAACGCTCCCAGTGGAAGCTTGTCCCGACGCAGCAACTCTTGCAGATGCTGACCAAGAATGGCGGCAAGTCTTCGCCTGAAATGCGCAAACACATTGAGCAGCGCCTGTCTGGGGCTGGCCAGTCTTTGATAAGCGAGAATTGTTTCGGCAAGTGCAGGCGCATGGAGAACCCGGCAGGGAACATCCAGCAGCAACCGACCGAGTCATTTTTCGCAAACCTCATTAATGAGTCTGTAGTTGGACACTTGTACAATTACCACGAGCCCCCCTGGCGTGACAGAGTGGCCCCTATCGGAGCCGAGGCCATCCTGCCCAAGAGTTTGTTCAAGTGCGCGCTCAAAGATTCGCCCGCCTGGGTAGGGCGCATCACCACGAAACCCGACTGGTTCAGCACTACCGCGACTTACAGCAACGTTGTATTCAGTGATTCGTTCCTTGTGCAAGTTGCCAAAAAGAGTAAAGCTTGGGGCAAGGTCGCGTCGGGGTGCTTCTTGGCGCAGCTGGCTGGTGGCAGGCGCTTGGCACTGCGCGCCGTAGGGTCCGATCAGTGGTATCTCAGTTTGGGCCACCAGCACGGCGTCGTCGTTGTGGCCTGGCCTTGCATCGCGGCCTTCAACGGGACAGTGTTGGCCTCTCTGAAGATAGACCTGGAGAAGGCACCTTGCTTCCTAGCAGTTTACGACGAGAAGTGGATGGCGACCACCGTGAAATGGTGCAGCCCAGCTTCAGCAGTTGCCATGAAGAGGGCGACGCCAGAGGCGATGACTGAGCGCCCAGTCATTAGCGCTCAGGTCGTGACGAAACCTCGCAAGCTCATGGAAGAAGCAGCTCACAATGCTTTCTGGGACATCAGGGGCCCCGGCCTCAAGCTCATCATGAAACACTTCGGCCTCGAGGCGGGCAGCGACCAGAGCGACTTGGACAGGCTTCTCGCCCTGCTGCGGAAATTCCTACCCAAGCTTACGGACGAAAAGTTGTTGGAGATTCTGGGGGCGAGGCTGAAAACCAGCTCGCACCTTGAGGACATGCTAATGCTCGAAGAGACATCTGATTTGCTCAGTAAACAGGACCAGGAGGACTTCGACAAGAAAGTAGACACGATGACTTTCCAGAAAAAAGTCGTAGACGAGTTTTTGACTGATTACACAAAGCTGCGGGCCAAGATGAAGCATGTCAAAGTCGAGCACAAAGGCGTCGATGGGAATCTCGTCAAGGGCCGTTTTCCCACCGGCCCCGTCTCTCAACCGGATGCCCAACGCCTGCTCCCGAGCCCTGTTCGCGTCTACGAGGACACGGCAAATGGACGGTGGCAGGTTTACTGGCCAGGCCTTGGCTCTCGAAGTAGGAGCTGGCAGCTGCATGGCCACGAGGACGGTCTGCGACAGCTGCTCCAGTGGGCGTGGTCAGAAGCCTTGTCCAGGGCAGCGCAGACCACGAAAGATTGCCCAGTGAAAGACCTTTTCAAAAATGTCGCAGCAGAGGGCTCGGCAGCCGCAGGCTCGAGCTCTGGCTGATTCTTCCATCTGCGCGTCTCGGGCAGACGGCCGCCTGCCCGTCGCAGGGGTGAGTGGCCTCCGACCGTTTCGATGCTCAGGGGCATCGAGTCGCGGGATTGCCGATGCAGTCTTGTCTGGTCTGTGCCAGCATGCGCCGATCCAGGAGCGATCGATTATTTCGACCTTGGGCCCGTATGGGTGCGAGGCTGCATTGGCCGGGGTGCGAATTCCATCCAGGGTAAGCTGCGCGCATGCAGCTGTGGGATCTGGATGGCTTGCTGCGATCTGCCAGCGAGATCGGGGAACTCAAAAATCCGCCGCCGGGCCCCATCGGCGTCCTCAGGGAGAGGGCGGGGAAGGGCATGAGCAAGATGGACGGGTTCTGCGAGGAGGAGGAGGAGGAGGCGGTGGGTAATAATGTGGAGGGGGAGGGCGAGGAGGAGGACGCCGCGGAGGGAGTGGGCGGGGGACGTGGGCGGGTAGGGGGAGGAGGCGGGCGGGTAGGGGAGGCGACGAGTAATGGACCCCACATTCTCCCACTCCCTCCCCTCGGATGCTTGCTGCCGCCGCTGCTCCGCCGAAGGGGGGTTCGTCACTCCAGCCGCGCCGCTGCGGGGCACGACCGATCGCCCGAGACTGGCCGTCGAGATGCGGCGCGCGAGCCGATGCCCGCGTAGTGCCCTCCTGTCTTTCTCCTCCTCTCCCCGCTCCTTCCTACTTTCCCCTTTCCTCGTCATCCCCATTCTCGTCCTCGTCCTTTCCTCCGCCTCCCCTTCTGACCCCGTTGTTGCCGCTGCCCCCCCTTCCCCCCCCTCCTCTTCTTCCACTTCGTCCTCCTATTCTTCCCCGTGCCGCACCGCGCCTCCCAGTGATCAGATTTTCTCTTCCCCCTCATTCCTCATGCTGGTGATTGTCTTCATACTTTACTTGCTCATCATGGCTTTGTCACTATTACTCCTCTTCTCCCGGCTGTTGCTGCTCCTCCTCATCATCTTCCTTCTCATCTTCCTACCTCTTCCTTCCGCTTCCTCATCGTTTTCATTCTTGCCGTCCCCTTGTTCCATGTTTTGTGCCACTTCCTACGTCCCCCCATCCTTATTACCCCATCCCTCCCCTCGTCGTCGTCATCCTCGCGAGCCACCTCGTCCTCCTCCTTCTCAGTCCTTCGCCTCTTCCCCTCCATCCTCGGTCGCATGGAGCTCCAATGCTCGACGGGTGCTCGGCGAGCGGCCGCCATCGTGCTCCTTTCTGTCCGCATCAAGCCCTTCCGTTTACCTTCAATTCCCCATTACGTGTCATTCGCTTTCCGTCCTCGCTTAACCTCCTTCCTTCATCCGCCCCTCCTCCCTCCCCCCTCGTCCCTCCTCTGTCGCCCCTCCCCCGTCCCCCTTCCTCCCTCCTCGCCTCACCTCCAAGCCATTCCAAGTCAAAACAGCTCATGTTCGGCTCACGCACCTGCCTGCCAGCAGTTTCAGTAGTACGAGCGCCGATTTCGGTAGTACATCGAAGTACCGGGGGCAGGGGTCGATATGTCTGTCCCAATCTTCGTTCCCCGCGCTGCGCAATGGCTTCCGCGAGCGCCGAGAAACTGGCGCGTTCGGGATGCCCCAGGTTTTTCTCCCAGCTGCACCTGGCGCAAGCAACGCCCCGCTACCGAAGAAACTCCGCGGCGCCAAAGACATCTTTGGTTTCTTGCGTCCGCGCGGATTCGGATTCGGCTGGGAGGGGGGGGCGACGCACAAGGGAGGACGAATCGACGGAAAAAACGCGGCCCCCATCAAGAGGCGCATCGCATGGGGCGTGCAAGAACTTCTCGGCGCCTTCGGCTTCTCTAAGTGTTCGGCAGGTTGATGCGAAAAACCCACGCACCGATGACCAACAAAAATCAAACAAGGTTCCACGGGTAGCTTGAAACCGCCTCGACCAGAAAGGGCGCCGGCATGGGGGGCGCGCAAGTGCCCCAGGGGCCCCAAGGCGCCCTCGCTTTCTTGAAACAGGCTTGATCAAACAGGCCACGCGGCGAAGACAAATAACATTGAATTGTTTGTTGCTGTTGTTCCGTGAAGGAGCCCAGGAAAGTGCGACCTCGACCGGAAGGGCGTGTATGTGCTTTGTATGAAGCAATGCGTCGCGGCGGACATTTGCACGCGCGCGCCCCGTGCCTTGGGATTGTGAGTTCTGTATAGTCGGAATAGGGTCGTCGCCATGTTGGCTCTGGAAATTCAAGGGACATTTGAAGGGGAAAACGTTTGATTTTGACTTAGCGTGTGTTTTTCTCCGCCGGCGGAGAGTGGCTGGAAGTGCGAGGCGTCGGCGACAGGACGCTTCGCGTATACGTCCTCCGTGGAGACGCAGCGCTCCGCGCAGCTACCTTTCTGGAGAGTGCCCAAGGGAAGGTGCACAGAAAGCAAGCGGCAGCAGTCCCCGACAACCCCTCGAGTGGCGTCAGCACCACGGGAGACAAAGCAGCGTCCGCAGAACGCATGCAGGACAGGCCCCGACCTGAGCCCTACCCGCAGCAATCCAGCACACAGGACCCCACTTACGAACCTGCATCCCTCATGCCGCCTAAGGAGGAGGACCCTGACTGGGGCAACGAAGACCAGGCTAAAGAGGAGAAACTGCGCCTCGCCGAGGCCCTGAGCGAGGTCTACCCCATCCCCTCGTCCTCTGACTCGGGCACCGTTGAGGAGCACCAAGCTAAGACGAGTCCTCAGAGTGAGCGGCACGCCAGCCCCGAGAACGACCCCCGCAGCACCGACCAAAGGGCTGCCCGCGCATCCATCGAGCCAATCCTGCGTCCCGAGGCCGTGGCCGAGGATCGGAACCTGCACAGGCGGGACCGCTCCAGGGGCCCCGAGGACCCGCGCCTGGCGCTCATCCCTCTCTCGGCGCCCCCCCAGAGCGCCCGCGCGGCAGGGTGCGGGAACCAGTCGCCTGGGAGCTGTATGCCACGACGGTGAGGCGCGAGTCCAGAGAGGACGACCGGCCGCGCGCAGGAGAGCGAGACCGCGACCGCGACCGCGACCGTAACCTGAGCGCGGCGGGGGCGCCGTGGCGCAGACACGACGCCAAGGACTGGGACAGAACAAAGGAGCGCTACTGGGACTGGACCCAGGACACTGGCTGGGGCTCGGCTAGCGCACCCTGGCGCCAGCCAGAATCGCGCAGCTCTCAGTACAAGGGCGACCGCAGCCACGCCGACACCAGCTGGACACACGCCGCGTGCCGCGCTGGATGGCAGCGCCTCCCAAACGAGACAGCAGTAACACACCTCAAGAGGTTGCAGACGGAAGGGGGGTACCAATTTAACGTAGCATGGAATTCGTGGTGCAGGCACAACTACAAGGAGCAGGGCGAGGGCGAATCCAAAGACCAGGCGCCCTTCGACCCACGCCGTTGGCAGCAGTGGATCATCGACAAATTCCTGGATGACATGAAGGCCAACAGCTACCACGTGGACCGATGGTCCAGCAGCGCAGGTGTCTACGTGGACTGGGAGCGGGAGCAGAAGCTCTATCTGGAGGCGCAGAGGAAAGGGGAGGTCGCTAAAGGTGACGGGCGCGACGGGGACCAGGCCCGCAGTTCCGGGCACCGCGACGCCTGGACTGGGAAGCGCCCACGGCGCTGACTGTCGTCGGCCCTACCACATCCGGCCTGCTGCACCACGGCCCAACCTTCCAGCCACTCCCATTACCTGCGTCCCCGTCCCCCAACCACCCCCCACCTCTCAGCCAACTGGGGACCACGTGTCCCTCTTCCCCCCCCTTTACCTGCTACCCCTCGCCCGTGTGGCGCCCGCTGTCCAAACGCTGGCATTCACCTGTTCACCTGGGCCTGTCCTCTCCTCCTCCTCCTCCTCTCCTCCTCTCCCGTTTCTAAGGATCTGGGACTCGGTGTCCTACCTGTATGCATCGGTTGATTGAGTTTCCCTGACCTGGGACTCTGTGTCCCCCTGTGCCCATCGGCTGTTTCCAACGGATATGGGGCCCTGCGTCCTACCTGTACCCATCGACTGAGCGTGATTCGAGGATCTGGGATTCTGCGCCCCCCCTGTACCCATCGGCTGGACTTGACTCAAGGATCTGGGACCCTGTGCCCCCCCTGTTCTTACCTGCGACGCATTGGTACGGCGGTGACGTGCGTGACGCCCGCGCTGGGACCTCGGGCCTTACCTGTGCGTATTGGGACGTGTCCCCACGCGGGCACCTCGGTGCACGCTGGCGGGACTCTGGCCGGCGTGGGACGCTGGCCTCTCTCTTCCCTGTCCGCTTTTTCCCTCCCCGCTCGCTCTCCCCCCTCCCATGGCGGCAGCGCCCGGCGCAGCGCGGCTCCGGCCCGGTGCTGGCGCTGCACCGTGCCGCCTCGGCGGCCCCGCTCACCCTGGGCAGCGCGGCTCCGGCCCGGCTCACGGCAGGCGGACGCAGTCGGCCTTCTTGCCGAACCTCGCGGCTGCTACCTGGACGTGGATTGGACTGCCACCCCAGGCCGCTACTGACCACCCGGTGGCACAACGTTGCACATCGACTTCGTGGTCTTCCGTATCTCCTGGGCCTCTCCTTACCAGTCGGTGGCACCTGGTGCACTTCGCCTTCCTGGTCTTCCTCTACCTCGCGGACGTTGACTTGCTCGCGGCCCTCCTCACGCAGCACTCGAGGATGGTGTTCTTGGCGCGACGCCAATCCACTCCCCCTCTGGGGCTTCGCCCCCTGCTCCAGTCCATGGCGTACCTTGTCCTGTGCAAGATCTTCGGCGCCGCCTGTACTCTGCGCCCGCCGGCCGCCTGAGGCCCCGCCCGCCCGCGCCCTGTCTCCCCAATTAGGGCTTCGCGCGCCCCGCCTAGCTCTTGACCGGAAGGGGCCCGCCCCCGACCCGCCGACCAAAACAGTTTTTTTCTCCGCGTGTGCTTTGCGTGGCGCAGTGCGTCGCGGAGGGCACTGGCGCGCGCGCGCGCGTGTGCGCGCCCAGTGCCTTGGGATTGCGAGTTGCGCGTGGTCGGAATAGGTACTCGCCACGTTGGCTTTGCAAAAATTCAAGGGACACCGCAAGGGGAATATTTCGATTATTACTTCAACCTGTTTTCCCCCGCGTGTATTTTGTATGACTCAGTGCGTCACGGCGTGCACTGGCGCCCGCGCGCGCGTGTGCGCCCAGCGCCTTGGGATTATGAGTTATGCGTGGTCGGAGGAGGGTAGTCGCCATGTTGGCTCTGGCAGTTCAGAGGACACTTGAAGGGAAAACCATTCGATTTTGATTCCAACGTGCGTATTTTTCTCGCATGTATTTTGCACGCGGCAAAATGTCACGGCGAACGCTGGCGCGTTGCGCGCGCATGCGCCCCGTCTTGAGGTCCGTGCAGTCGGAAGAAGGCAGCCGCCATGTTGGCTTTGGCAATTCAAAAGACAAATTAGGGGAAGAAACATTAATTTTGATTTCAACGTGCTTTTTTCGCCCGTGTTCTGTGTGATGTGTCACGGAGGGCAGTGGCGCATATGCGCGCGTACGCGCCCATTGCGTTGGGATTGTGAGTTCTGTATAGTCGGAATAGGGTTGTGGACATGTTGGCTTTGCAAAATTCTAAAGGCTCTTGAACGGGAAACCATTTATTTGTTTTTGGTTTCAACCTGTGTTTTTATTTCGCATGTGCTTTGTATGAAGCAACGTGTCACGGTGGACACTGGGGTTCGTTGGTCCCGGGTTTCTTCCACAGCGTAAGCCCCGCCAGTAATTTGCGCGGCGGGCGGTGCGGACTAATTTTGCGGCCCGCCAGGGCGCTTTCGGTTTCTCCGGGCATTAGGCCATGCATTCGGGTTTCAGCAGCGGCACGAGAAGATGCACAGCGTCTCCGCGGGGCGCCTTAAGTTTATCCTGAAAGGCGGGAGCGTCTCTGCAATCCCAATTTGGTTTTTCGGGTTGTCATGAGTTTCGTCCACAGCGTTGCTGGCTCCTTTTCCATGCGCGACCACGGAGAAAGAGCTCGGGCCAGGGCGCCTTGGGTTTTTCCCTACCGAGGCTCTGCCTAGAAGGGTTCTTACTCTGAGGTTTAAAGGGCCGGGCAGTGGGGCACGCCCCGGGCGGTTCCCCCAGGATCCGCCCCGCAGTTCCCCCAGTGACGTTCCCTTAGCTTCGCGTTGCTTATCTCATCTTAGCTTAGCTTATTTAATATTACCTTAGCTTACCTTCATCTTGCCTCAGCTTTATCTTAGCCTAGCTTACCCTCATCTTAGCTTCGCTGGGCTTTAGCATAGCAGAGCACAGCATAGCATAGCATAGCGTAGCATAGCATAGCGCAGCATCGCATATCATAGCATGGGTGTAATTCCCTACCTAGGCTCTGCTTAGAGGGTTAGCTTAGCTTAGCTTAGTTTAACTTAGCATAGCGCAGCGCTGCATTAACATACTATATCATAGCATAACATAGCCAAGCATAGCATAGCATAGTGCAGCATAGCATAGCATAGCTAGCAGAGCATAGCATAGCATCGCATAGCGCAGCTTAGCATAGCATAGCTAGGCTTATTTCTATAATTCCCTACCTAGGCTCTGCCTAGAGGGTTCTTACTTTGTTTGCTTAAAGGGCCGGGCAATGGAAAACGCCCCGGGCGGTTCCCCCAGTCCCCTGGGAGCGGTTCCCCCAGTCCCTTGGGAGCTCTAGCTTAGCTTTAGCTTAGCTTTAGTTTAGCTTTAGCTTAGCTTTAGTTTCGCTTTAGCTTAACTTTAGCTTCGCTTTAGCTTAGCTTTAGCTTAGCTTTAGCTTCGCTTTAGCTTCGCTTTAGCTTAGCTTTAGCTTAGCTTTAGCTTAAATTTAGCTTAGCTTTAGCTTTAGTTTAGCGTTAGCTTAGCTTTACCGTAGCTTTAGCTTAGCTTTAGTTTAGCTTTAGCTTAGCTTCACATTAGCTTTACCTTAGCTTTAGCTTAGCTTCAGCTTAGCTTTAGCTTAGCTATAGCTTAGCCTTGTCTTAGCTCCAGCTTAGCTTTAGCTTAGCTTTAGCTTAGCTTTAGCTTAGCTTTACTGTTACTACTAATGCTGCTTTCCTAGGGGTTCCAACTCCTAGGTAGGGTCGCACTGGGATATTTTCTTTTGGAGCCCCAAACTAAGAAACCCAGACCCTGGGCAAGAAACTTCGCCGATTTTCAGGGCTGGGTTTCTTGCGAGGGTCTCTTGCGGCCGCGTCTCCAGTGTATGGTCGATACTTGGGCGGTGACTTTGGCGGGAGGTGACTTGTAGGCACTTGCGTAGGTGGTGTGCTGCTGCTGCTGCTGCTGCTGCTGCTGCTGCTACTCTGTGCCTTTGGCCCGCCGTGTGCGGTTGGTGCTGTCTTTAGAAAAGGCTTTGGTGACACCTCCTGGTATGATAGTGTGCTGGGTTTGGGCCTGGTTCCCTGCAGCCCCATTTTTGTCGTCTGGCAACCCGTACAGCCCTGCCTTAACTGCAGCCGGTGGTGGCACGGTGTCGTTTTGTATGCGCGGTGCCTTGGCGGCTACGATTACAAACGGTGGTGCGTTGTAGCGGGACCAATCCTTCGGTGCAGCTCTGGCGTGGTGTTGTGCTGTGTCGTCGATGTAAATGCTGTCGTTGCCTCCGTGCCTCGGTCGATATCCTGGGATTGGCGTACCCCGCTGTGGTCATCGGCGAGGTGGTTTAAAGTTCGTGAAGCTACTAGCCGAAGTCGTGATCTGCTGATGGGGGGGCTGGTAGGCTACTGCTGCAGGTGGCTGTGCCGTCTGGATCTCCGTGATGACCATAGCTATCCTCTCGGCGCTGAGGACGGGGTCGGCTTGGTGACGGGTCATGTGGTGGATGAGGCGAGCGCTCGCGTAGAGCGTCAGCCTCGATGTAGGCGAGCATTTTGTCGTTGTCCAGGTGCTGTACATCTTTCTTGATGGCGTCCAGGGCGTTCTTGTACTCGCAGTCCCTGTTGTACCTGCGAATGCTGCCATCGAGGACGGAAATGTCCACGTATAAGGATCTTGCTTGTGGGGATGGCGACCTTGCCCTAGGCGGTGGAGGTGGCTGCCGCTGGTTTCTTGCCGCTATAGGTGGGTTTATCATCATGTTGTCGTTGACGTCGTAGAAGCATTCGTATTTGTTGGCAGGGACCGCTCTCTTGCATCTGTGTCGTAGCAGGACGTTGCCAGGGTCGTCCCATTCCGACTCGCGGGTCTCGAGGTTGTAGTACATTTGGGCGTTCCAGTGAGTTGGGTTGCCGGGTGGGTGGACGACCCATGGCCGAGGCGTTGGCAGGTTGTGCCGATGGTCGAGTGGCAAGCTGGCTGGAAGGTTAAATTGCATCAGTGCCTGGATCAATTGGTGGTGGGGGGCAGTTCGGTGGCGGTGGATTTCTTTGGGGCTGTGGGTGATGGGTGGGGTTGACGGTCAAGACTCGGTTCGCGGTTTTGGGGGTGTTGGTCATGTTCAGTGGGGCCGTGATCGTTCTCCTCGCCTTAGCTGCGCGTTGGCACGCGGGGGAGGATGTCGCTCACGGGCGTCCCCGCCACGGAATTCGCCCTCTGTGTGAGTTGTCTTGCTCCTTATTTGGGGATACGGTTCTGCCTCGTCGCAGCTTCTCGCAGTTTCTTCGCCGAGATCATAGACCTCCGATGTGCCTCCTATCACTGTTCAGTGGTGTGTTCCTCTTTGTTTCACTTGCCTGGTGGCATCATTCGGAGTCACCGCGATGCGTGAACCTGTCTTTGTGCAGCTGTGAACCTGTCTTTGTGCAGCTGTGGCGGGCGGCATTGACCGCCACGCTCTCTTTTCTGCGCTGATCGCATTGCATAAGTTTTGCTGCTAATTCTCACGCTTCCTACAGGCTGACGGTAAGCCGTCAGTCCGATCCGATCCGATCTTCGTGTTTCTTTTCTTCCTCCCTCGTCGTTGCCCTCACCCTCCTGGGATCACAGCGGCTCGGCCCAGGTCGCAGCCTTATGGGGACGCCGACAACGACGGGAACGGCGACATCTTCACATTTTCTATATTATTGGTGTTTTTCACCCGGGTGCTTCCGGGAGACAGGCAAAATGAGGATGAGGAGGAGGAGGAGGACCGATGATGAGGAAAGAGGAGGAGGAGGAGGAGGAACGAGGATGAGGAGGAACGAGGAGGAACGAGGAGGCACGAGGAGGAGGAGTATCGCAGAGGAGGAGGAGGAGGAGGAGGGAAAATCAGGAGGAGGAAAGAGGAGAAGGGAAGAGGAGGAGGAAAAGGAGGAGGAGGAGGAGGAGGAGGGAGAAGGGAGCAGTGAAGAGGGAGGAGGGAGGACTGAGGACGAAGGAAGGAGGAAGGAGGTTGGGAGAGAGGGAGGAAGAGGGGGAGAAGAAGTTTTTTTTTGGATTGCGCTCTGATTCGCCGAGGAGACGATCAGCTTAGTGCGGCACTCACTAGCTGCTGGCAGAAACACGCGGTATCTAGCAACACGGGCGCCAAGATGTAAATGCTCCCCCCGACCAAACCGAAACCTAACCCGTACCACCTCCATATCGTCGGAAGGCGCTCGAGGCGCATCGCAATGCAACAGGAGTAGGAAAAAGGCAGGAGGAGGCTGATCAAAGAGGGGAGCAGGTGAGATAGCTTGCGAAGGGCCGAAAAGGCAGCTAAGTGGGCGGGTGCGAGGCAGGGCCCAACGGGAGTGCACGATTTTCGCAGGCTCGACCTGTGTCCCATGCCTTCAGCATCGCCGCAGTGGGACCTCGTCCCCGCCAACATACCTAAACCCACCCCCGGTCCCGACCATAGTAAGCTGAACGCTAGGAAGGGAAGTGGGGAAGGTGAGACGGCCTGGCGTGTCCGATGCGCGGGCAGGGCCGGCGCTCGTGGCTGCCCGCCCCGAGAGAGGTTCGCCGTGCCTGCTACGGCGCCCGAAACCTCTCGAACTGGGGCGGCAGCTGGCGACCGAACGAAGAGAGAAACACAAAGAGGCAGGGGGAGGCTGATCAAATTGGGGAGCAGGTGAGATGACCTGCGAAAAGGCCGAAAAAGGCAGCTGAGTGGGGGGCGGGCGCGAGGCGGGCCAACGGGAGTGCACGATTTTCGCACGCCCGACCTGTGGCCAATACCTGCTCCAACGCCGCAGTGGAACCTCGTCCCCGCCAACATGCCTAAACCCACCCCCGGTCCCGACCATAGTAAGCTGAGGGCAGCAGCGGGGCAACGACGCGCAACCATGGCGCGCGCGCCGCGCTGCGGCCACGAAGGCAGCTCAAGGGCCAGGTGGAACAAATTGACAACGGAGGGCACAGTGGAGCACGGGGGGCAGCGAGGGGGCCACTGAGGGCAGCAACGGGGCCAGGAAGGGCAGCAAAGGGGCCGCGAAGGACAGCGGGGCCATGACGTGCAGCGAAGGGACCACGAAGGGCGAGAGCGGGGCCACTGAGGGCAGCAATGGGGCCACGAAGGGCGCGAGCGAGCGACGGGGCCACTGAGGGCAGAAACGGGGCCACGAAGGGCAACGAGGGGGCCGCAAACGGCGGCGGCAGGGCCACGAGGGGCAGCGAAGGGGCCGCGAAGGACGCGAGCGGCGGCCACGAAGGGCATACATATGGGACGAAAAAGGGCGACAGCGGGGCCGCTGAGGGCAGAAACCGGGCCACGAAGGTTTCGAGGGGGCCACGAATGGCGACAGCAGAGCGACGAAGGGCAGCAATGGGGCCACGAAGCCGTAACAAACTATAGGAAAACAAACGATTTTGGCCTCATGAGCCCCTCTTGGGGGTGCTGTTGGAGTGCTTTCGGGGCCTCTCGGGGAGCCTTTTGGGCGTCCTTCGGGCCTCGTGGGAACTCTCGGAGACGTCTTGGGCCGTCTTAGAGGCCTCTTGAAGGCCTCTTGGGCCGTCATGGCGCCATCTTGGGCCGTCTTGGGTACATCTTGGGCCGTCTTCGAATTATCTTGCAGCAGTGCCGGGCTCTCTGGCATCCAGGGTGGCACTCTGCTGTGTTTCCCACGACTCGACCCCCCCCCCGGAAAACGGAGCACAGCGCGTCCCCCCCGCCCACCCCCGTACCCTTGCAGAGCCACCCCGGCACCCACCCCCAGCAGAGCAGCAGCTCAGGAACTGAAGCTGAGGCTACATCTACGGCTCTATCAAACTCACACGCCGGATCGGCGGATTTCGACACGCTCGCGTGACGGCGCATCATGCGATATTGATTCGTGCACCGGGCGCATATTGGATCGACGCGGATGTACTTCGTGGTGAACGAGAATGCGGGTTTTGGACGAGATTGTTAAGACCATCTGGTCGTCCCACGATTTCAGCAATTACGAGCGGTCAGCACTTTTGTTTGCAATACGTGTGTATATTAACGTGCGGATGTCTGATGGTTTAAGCTGAAATGTTTGTTGACTTGGTGTGTTTGGTATGATTTCGACACGTGCGCGCGCGTGGGGGCTCAAATGATTTTTTCCAGGGGCTTATTGGTACATGAATTGTTGCGTTAAACGAGTGCGCGCGCAGAGCGTTATCTGGCAAGCATGAGGGGGGCGATGCTCGGCCTGCCTGGGATGGTATGGTGTCATATGGACAAGGAGAGGCGGGGGAGAATCATATCTAACTTGCGAGGCCCAAGGGGGGGAACAATTACCCTGGGGGGAGGGGGTGGTGGAGTCTATCCTGTTTTGAAAGGAGAACTCAAGTGGGGCAACCCATGTGGTGCAAAGTTGATTCTGCCAAGTCATGGCTCATCAAATAAGATGCTCGCGCAATCATCCCACCCTCCAACCCGCAACCTCAAAACCCTTGCGGCGGCGATTGCGATGACTGATTGGCGATGGCTGACGCATCTCTGCGGCCGCGCTGCTGCGTGCAAGCCCGTGCGCGAGCTGCCAGCTGGTTTGGCACAGCCAATGTGGCCGCGGTGGCGCTTACTGATGATAAGGTCCCAGCGCGTGTCAAAGGCCGCGCTGGCGCGTGGGCATTTCAGTACAGGTCGGTAGCCCGTGCGGGCGCGGTTTGATGATAATGATGACGATGTTGATGATGATAATGATGATGACGAGGATGATGTTGATGATGAAGTTGTTGTTGTTGATGATGATGATGGTGGTGGTGATGATGATGAAGTTGTTTGCGCGAAGATGGGAGCAATTGCGGCGGTTGTCGACGACGATTACGTGATGCGGCGGCGCTCGGGAAGCTGATAGAGAGGAAGTGCGCGCGCGGCAATCCAAGAACCTTGCCAAACTGTCTGTTGAAATCCATGTGTATGTTTATACTTCCTTGAGGAGCTGAAGTTCGAAACGCTTGGAACACATTTGTTTTCTTCCGGATTTAGAAATGCTCACGTGGCGGCGCGCGTGTGTGGCCCTTCATGGTATCATGTGATACGGATTTGCGCACCGGGCACATGCTTGACCAACGCGGATGCATTCCGTGATGAGGTGATAATGCAGTTGTTGGGCGAGATCGTTGAACACCATTTAGTGTTTTTTTGGGGCTGCAGCAACGAAGCACGGGCAGACAATTGTCAAGATGTGTGATGAAACACATGTAGGTGTCTGGCGCTGTTGTGTTGAAAGGTTTGCTGAGTTTGTGTGGTTGATGTGATTTCTACGTGTGCGCGCGTGTGGACTTTGTGATATCGAATGGCCTTCGGCCAACTGCCACCGTGCCTGGGTTTGGGCATGAAAACGATTGGATGTTCGCTGGGATCTCGTGGGAGGTCTCTTGGAGGTAGTTTTGAGGCCTCTTCGGGGGCCTCTTAGGGGTCTCATGGGGGCCTCCTAGGGGCCTTTTCGTGTTCCCTCCCTAGGGCTCCTTTTGGGGCACTCTTGGGCACCTCTTGGGCCGTCTTGGGGCGCTCTCAGGCCGTCTTAGGGCCCTCTTGGAGGCCTCTTGAGCTGTCTTGGGGTGGTCTTGGGGGCCTATTTGGCAGTCTCGGAGCGTCAGAAAGCAGAGAAGGCGAGAACGCCCAAATCCGTCAACAACCAAAGGAACATGAATAATGTTTGCCTCTTGGGGCTCTCTTGGGAGGCCTCTTGAGGCCTCTTGGGGGGCCCCCTTGAAAGTCGTGTGGGTACACGCGTGGAGCCCCAGGAGCGCACAAGAGCGCCCGGAATTCGAAGGAACTTGAGGACACTCCATTTCGTGCCTCTCGGCACAGTGGCGGATACAAGACACAGAGCTCGATTTCGCCACAAACATAAGTAAGTTGTGCGTCCGTCATCCCGCATCCCTACAGCCAGTGGGGTGTCTTGCTAGTGAGAATTTCTGGCCAGACCGAGGGCGGCTGCGACGACGATGACGCCAGCGGCGACAACGATGGCGACGGTGGCGACGGAAACGGTGGCGACGTCGGCGAACGAAGGCGCTGGCAGAGCGACGATAACGGCAGCGACGATGGCTCATACCTCGGAGAGGGATTTGTCACGTTCGGCAAGTTAGCAACAGGAGCTCAGCGCAGCCGACCCCTGTCGTGTGGAGGTAGTCGGCCTGGGGTTCGCGTTGTTGATGGTTGTTGTCACCCGCGAGCCGCTGTACTGCCAAGCTCCGCTTTGGAAGGGGTGTTACTTGGAGGGCAGTGACAGCACGCAGTCATACGCATTCTGAGAGGCCTGCATTGCACACCATCGCGGTCATAGCAGCAGTATCGATTGCATTGTTATCTACGTGGGCTTACCCACGTTGATTGAAATACTACCTGTATTCGCTTGCAGGGAAAGTGTCCATTGCATTGTCGACTGCATATCTTAAGCTTGATCACGTCCTGTTGTTCAAGAATTGCTCACCAGACCCCGTGACTACGTCGCTCACGAGGGCGTGATTCTCATCACCATCATCATCCTCGCGGCGTCATCAACATGTTTCTTATTCTCATCCTCATCCATCTCCCCCCCACTCCTCCAGCTCCATCTCCTTCTCCACATTCAGCTCCTGCTCCTTCTCATTATGTTTTCCTCCACCTCATCCTCTTCCTCCTCCTCCTGGTCGTAACGCTCTTCCTCCATCTCCTTCTTCTCTTCCCTCATCGTCCTCCTCCTTCTGTCCAGGGACACGTCTTCAGACAGGTGAAACCTTAGAATGGAGGGTCCGAATCGCCTTGGAGTTCGTCCGCCAGGTCTTTCGTGTCGAGTCTCAACCCTTCCTCCGCCTCCTCCTGCAACTCCTGCTTCTATTGCTACTACTGCCAACCCGCATAGTAAGGATGAGCAACTGTCCAAAGTTACCCTTGCGTCTTTCCCATTCGGCCCGTCCTCGACCGCTTTCGCTGGCCGCGCCCCGCTCGCAAAGTGCAGTCATGGCCTTCCAAGGCCCTTGCATCCTGATTGTGCGTTCTTCTTATACGAATTGACTGTATCAGTGCTGTTGTCGCTGATAGTTTTGCTGTTGTTGTTTCAATTCGTACTACTATTGCGCTCGCTACTACTATTACTGGTTCTTCTACAAGTGTTTCTACTGATCAGAAGTGGTATATATGCTTGTAGCTTATATCATGTGAATTGCTGCTGCCTGCCGATTAGCAACCACGCTGCCCACTCCCCATCTTGCCCTCCTTCTTCCAAGACTCCATGCGCATGCAAGTTCACGTGGTGAGTCACGAAGCTTGGGGAAGCCGTTCTCGTGACATTTTCTGGGCATTCCTTTGCTGCTCTGTCCAATGTGTCGTGGCGCTTCGACGGAAAGCATAATCGACCCGCAAAGCTCAGAAAGGGATCTAGAATTGTAAGGCATGGGAACATTTGCCAGCACATCCGTTGGGCGATGGGCAGTGGCAGTGCTGAAGATATCAATGGTGATGATATTGTGCCATGGGCTGTGTTGTGTTGCTCTTCGCTGTGCCGCGCCGCACAGTGGCGTGTCAGGGGACGCGACACGGAACGAACCAGTGAACGTGCCAGGGGACGGGCCAGGGGCACGCGACACGGGACGCGCCATGGAACGTGCCAGGGAGCATGCGCCACGGAATTTGCTAGTGGACGCACCACGGGACGTGTCAGCGAACGGAACGCGCCGCGCGATGCGCCAGGGGGGCGCGATACGGGACGCGCCACGGAACGTGCCAGGGGGACGCGCCACCGAACGTGGCACGTCCCCCAGGCACGGGATGATGGGGTCATATAGGGTCCGTTTTGGGGCGTTAGGAACCCACGTGTTCTCACATTTGTCCCGCTCTGGAACGTTAGGAACCCATGTGCGTTCACGCTTGTCGCGCTCTGGGGCGTTAGGAACACATGACCGCTCTGCAGCGTTGGGAACCCGCGTGTTTTCACGCTTGTTCCGCTCTGGGACGTTAGGGACCCACCTATTATGATTCTTGTCCTGCGCAGGGGCGTTAGAAACCCGCGTGCTGTTGCGCGTGTCCCGCGCAGGGGCGTTAGGAAGCCACGTGTTCTCACGTTTGTCCCGCATTGGGATCATTGGGGGGCTAGGAACCTATATGTTTTCACGCTTGTCCCGCTCTGGGGTGTTCGGAACCCAAATGTGTTCACGTTTATTCTGCTCTGGGGCGTTGAGAACCCATGTGCTTCCATGCTTGCCAAGCCCTGTGGCGTAAAACAGCAACGTGTGTTCACGCGTGTCCCGCTCTGGGGCGTCAAGAACCCTCGTGGTTTTACGCTTGTTCCGTTCTGGGGCATGGGAACCCACGTGTTGTCCCGCTTGTCCCGCTCTGGGGCGCTCGGAACCGACGTGTTTTCACGCCTGTTCCGCCCTGGGGCGTTAGGGACCCACGCGTTTTCACGCGTGTCCTTTTCTGGGGTGTTCAGGACACAAGTGATTTCACGCTTGTCCCGCTCTGGGGCGTTCGGAAACCGTGAGTGTTCACGCTTCTCCCGCCGTGGGGCGTTAAGAACCCACGTGTTGTCGCGTTTGTTCCGCTCTGGGGCGTTACGAGCACATATGTTTTCACGCTTCTCCTGCCGTGGGGCGTTCGGAACCCAAATGTTTCACGCTTGTTTTGCTGGCGTTAGGAACCCATTTGTTTCCACGCTTGTCCGGCTCTGGGACGGTAGGAACCCACATGTTTTCATTCGTGTCCCGCATGTGGGCGTTAGGCTCCAAATGTTTCACGCTTGTCCAGCTCTGGAGCGTTACGAACCTAAGTGTTTTCACGCGTGCCCCGCTCTGGGCCGTACGAACCACTGGTTTCACGCTTGTCCCGCTTGGGGGCGCTGGGAACACATGTGTTTTCACTCTTGTCCCGCTCTGGGGCGTTAGGGACCCTTGTATTTTCACGTTTGTCCCGCTCTAGGGCGTTTGGAACCCACGTGTTTGCACGCTTGCTTCGTTCTGGGGCGTTCAGAACCTGAATATATTCACGCGTGTCCCGCTTTGGGGCGTTAGGAGTCAATGTTTTTCCCAACCATCCTGTGGTGTTGGGTCCTCGTTTTGAAGAAACGGTGCCCCGCGTCTCCTCTCCTTCCTCCTCCTCCCCCTCCTCCCTCCTCCCCCTCCGCGTCAGCCACGCCCACTTCGGCACACCCCTCACACGTTTCGTGGCCCCATAGGGAACTCCGCCGAGGGCCCCAGCGGCTGCGTTCGCATGGCGGCACCGCACCCATTTCGACACACCCATCACACGTTTCGTGGCCCCATAGGGAGCTCCACCGAGGGCCCCAGTGGCTGCGTTCGCATGGCGGCACCGCACCCATTTCGGCACACCCCTCACACGCTTCGTGGCCCCATAGAGAGCTCCACCGAAGGCCCCAGTGGCTGCGTTCGCATGGCGGCACCGCACCATTTCGGCACACCCCTCACACGTTTCGTGGCCCCATAGGGAGCTCCACCGAAGGCCCCAGTGGCTGCGTTCGCATGGCGGCACCGCACCCATTTCGGCACACCCCTCACACGTTTCGTGGCCCCATAGGGAGCCCCACCGAGGGCTCCAGTGGCTGCGTTCGCAAGGCGGCACCGCACCGATTTCGGCACACCCCTCACACGTTTCGTGGCCGCATAGGGAGCTCCACCGAAGGCCCCAATGGCTGCGTTCCCATGGCGGCACCGCACCGGCACACCCTTAACACGTTTCGTGGCCCCATAGGGAGCTCCACCGAGGGTCCCAGTGGCTGCGTGCGCATGGTGGCACCGCACCCATTTCGGCACACCCTCACACGTTTCGTGGCCCCATAGGGAGCTCCACCGAGGGCCCCAGTGGCTGCGTTCGCATGGCGGCACCGCACCCATTTCGGCACACCCCTCACACGTTTCGTGGCCCCATAGGAAGCTCTACCGAAGGCCCCAGTGGCTGCGTTCGCATGGCGGCACCGCACCAATTTCGGCACACCCCTCACACGTTTCGTGGCCCCTGAGGGAGCTCCACCGAGGGCCCCAGCGGCTGCGTTCGCATGGCGGCACCGCACCCATTTCGGCACACCCCTCGCACGTTTCGCCCATAGGGAGCCCCACCGAGGGCTCCAGTGGCTGCGTTCGCATGGCGGCACCGCGCCGATTTCGGGACACGCCTCACACGTTTCGTGGCCGCATAGGGAGCTCCACCGAGGGCCCCAGTGGCTGCGTCCGCATGGCGGCACCGCGCCCATTTCGGCACACCCCTCACACGTTTCGTGGCCACATAGGGAGCTCCACCGAAGGCCCCAGTGGCTGCGTTCGCATGGCGGCACCGCACCAATTTCCGCACACCCCTCACACGTTTCGTGGCCCCATAGGGAGCTCCACCGAGGGCCCCAGTGGCTGCGTTCGCATGGCGGCACCACACCAATATCGGCACACCCCTCACACGTTTCGTAGCCTCTTAGGGAGTTCCCTCTCATTCGTTCAACCTGCTCTGCGGTACTCGCAGCTGCATATGGTTGGGTCCATCGCCAGGATAATTTGTCAGCGCTTGTCCCACTTTGAAGCGTTAAGAACCCACGTGTTTTCACGCTTGTTCCGCTCTGCGGCGATGAGAGCATACGCGTTCTCTTGCCAGTCTCGCTCTGGGGCGTTTTGAACCCAAGGAGCGTTAGGAACCCACGTGATCCCACGCTTGTCCCGCCCAGGGGCGTTAGGAACCCACGTGTTTTCACGCTTGTCCCGCTCTTGGGCGTTACGAACCCACGTGTTTCCACGCTTCTCCCGCCCTGGGATGTTAGGAACCTATGTGTGTGTGTGTGTTCACGCTTGTCCCGCTCTGAAGCGTTTGGAACCCACGTGTTTCCACGCTTATCCCGCCCTGGGGCGTTAGGATCCTATGTGTGTGTTCACGCTTGTCCCGCTCTGGGGCGCTGGAAACCCACGTGTTCTCACGCTCGTCCTGCTCTGGGGCGTTGGGAACCCAGGTGTATTCACGCGGTTCCGCATTCCCAAAACTACCTGGGCATCCTGGGGCACCCAGGCCCGGCCCCTCAAGTTCTGCAACACAAGCGTTTCGCTCGAGAAATCCTCGAAATTCCTTCGCGCAGGACGCGCCATCCTCGAGTGGGCACGCGCGACATCGATTGTTTATTCTCTGGGAGATTTCAAGGCCTACAAACTTCGTCATTTATCGCGGATTCTGCTCAAAACGCTCCGAACTCCGGTTTTTACGGGGAAGAACAAGGGTCTGTGGACCCCACGATTT